ATAAAGAGGGCAAATATCAGATGGTTTAGCAAGTGTGAATGCAAATGTGATATAGATTTTATACAACAGTAATAAAATCATATTGAGTGAGTTACATTTTGGACAAAGTATTGTCTGGAGATGAAAATTTTTTGTTCTGTTTAAATTTAATCTATTTTTGAATTAATCATTTGAATCATTGATTTATTCATAAAGCCAGTCACTGCATTCAAAATCGTGCTATATAACATGTATTACAATTGAATTCAACTTTACATCAAAACCATAAACCAATAAATGTGTATACATAAGTGTAACGGAGGCCAGCTAGTGAAGTGCTATGCAGGTAAACCTCACTCCTCTGACCTTAAAAGGTGCTTCAGCACCAGATGCTAGAGGCCATGGTCTTTAGCCTCCTTGTTAGAGCATGCAAAGTATACTAGTTCAATCCCAGCTCACAAGGGGTTGGGTGCAGTAGAAACAGTGGGTTATGGGGGGCTCGTCCGGGATGAGAGTGAGGTTTAGGGGGGTTAGTGTAATGGAGGCCAGCTATAGCGAAGTGCTATGCAGGTAATCCTTACTCATCTGACCTCAAAAGGTGCTCTAACAACAGATGCTAGAGGCCATGGTCTTTGGCCTTCTTGTTAGAGCAGCTGATTCTGCAAAGAATAGCCAGTTCGTAGGACCAGTGGGTTATGTAAATGAATGAATAATAAAATAAATGAATAATAAAATAAATTTATAAATATGTTTTAAACATAGTGTGAAAATAATTAGTATGAATCAAATTATGACTTTCAGCTTCTTTGTGTTTTTCAATTTGATACTCATTGAAACGGGGAGTTTTACTTTCATGTTTATGATACAGGATAGGTCTAAACCTGCCAAAGATCTAGCAGAAAACCAAACAAAAAAAAATTAAGGTGTTGCTTTCAGCATTGCACAGCCCCAGCAGAAACACTGACACTAAGTGGACTTCATGTTTGCTCCTAAGGAATGGATCACAAAATTATCATTGAGAATGGTGTGAATGTAGCCTATATTTACTGTCCTGTCATGTCATCCATGGTGCAACTACTTGGATTTAATCAAAAATCATTTTAGTGCCGGCATACATCAAATTTCAGATATTTCGAATCTTGATAATGCTGTTTTTGTCTGCACAGGTTATTACAAATATGAATGTTGCCTACAGACAAGAAAAGAAAAATGCCAAAAGGAAGTCTAGAAACATGCCCTCCATTACTCTCACAGTGGCCGAGCCATTGTTCAGCTCAGAGGAATCGCCTTCAGCAAAAAAGCTCAAGGAAAGCCTCTACCTTTCTTTTCCAGTAGAGACGGTCCTAACCACAGTCCAGAATGTACCCGACGCCAAAAAGAATGGCTTAGACTATCCTCTAACAGACTCTGATATGCACTAAAAATCTTTTAGATCCATCAAGCATTATATTTGCATAGACTACAACCTAAAGGCTTGATGTGTGCAAATGTGAAGTAGATGAACTCGTGCTGACTTTCTGATTCCACACAAAATGTAACAAGATTAAAATGTTGTGTTTTGGCTGGAAGGGTTATTGACATTGATGATGATCTTTGTTTGTGCTTGTTATTATGTTACAGAAAAGCTTTTTTTAAAATTATGTTAGTCTTTCACTGAACTACACGCCCAAAGAAGTTTGCTTTGCTTAGGTGACTCATGTCTGAAAGGACAATTTTTTTTAAATCTGCATTTTCTTTGGATGAGCCATTGAAAGTATTTGAGTATTATCTGAAAGAATGTTGTGTAAACATTAATTATGTATGAAGGTTATAATGTTTGTGCTCATTATCACAGCAAATAGTTGTGATTTTTGTATTCTGTATGTTTTTTTTTATTTCATTATAACACCAAAGTGCGTTTTTGTGTGTCTCTGACAAGTTAGTATGATCTTTGCAAAAAAAAAAAAAAAAAAAAGTTTAAATGTGCATCATTCCTTTACATTTGTATGTGGAAAAGAAACCTTTGATATGGGTATGCCAGTAAATAGTTATAATGTTTTAGATTTTACCTCAGAAATGATTTAGGCTCCATTCATGTGGTCCAGCAGTTGACCGTTTTCCTTTGTAATAAATGCATTTGTTAATCAGTTACACAAACGTATCTGTGGCCTGAACCTCTTGTGCAATTTCCTGTTTGCCTGTGAAATAACGGGAGCTGAAATGAAGGTGCAAGACTGTGGCCATGGGGTTGCAGCAGATTTCACAGTAGGGGCAAACCTCGCCTTGTTACTTGTCATCATTTAGACAACCTGCTAAGTGGCAACATGACTTTAAACTGAAGCAGTTTGGTGTTGAAACACAGTCTTTGATGAACTCACAATCAATCATGTTCAATTTCTGATGCTGAAAACAGAGCTGTGATTGCTACAACTTTCACAAAACACTATTTTATTAAGAAGAATGTGGAGGATTTTAGGGATGATGTTTTAGTAATATGTATGTAATTACATGATATTGTGGCAAAAGCCTGTCTTGGCCTCTCAGCCAGAGGTGTCCAAACTTGGTCCTGGAGGGCCGGTGTCTTGCATAGTTTAGCTCCAACTTGCTTTAACGTATGTTCCTGGAAGTTTCTAGTAGAAAGAGCTTGATTAGCTGGTTCAGGTGTGTTTAATTGGGGTTGGAACTGAAATATGCAGGACACCAGCCCTCCAGTACTGAGTTTGGGCACCCCTGCTCTAAGCCCATGTTTTTTTTTTTATTACTTTAATTTTTTTTCACTGCACTGATAACTTAGTGGATAACTTAGTTACAACAGAAAGGCCACTTCTTTAAAGTTCATTCAAAGTTAAACTTAATATTAAATTAAACTCCAGTATAATGTTAACTTTACAATGCATGTTTGGGCCCACTCAGTATTACATATTTAATATTTATTCAATGCATATTTATTCAATTAAATTAATACTTCTATTGCCTTTGAAATAGTGTTACAATGTACAGACAGTGCATGGTTATAATGTTTGGGCACTATAGATTATATACTAATAATTAAGCTCCATATATCTATAATAGGCTAGTGAATAGGCTACAGTATCTTTAAATGTTAAATAACACGCTATAGGTAAACTTAATACTTTACTTCTGTTATATATATTTATAACAATGTAGTTTTATTAAATGTTTATGTCTTCACTTTGTACAACAGCCAAAAGTGATGTTTTATTGGTCTTAAGGTTAATTAAAACCAAAATATGATGAACGCGTTGTATTGAAAAGAGGCATCAGTAAACTTTTTTATTTTTTTTTTTAACTCAGTTATTTAACTGACAACATTCTTGGCAGAAAAAAAAGGTTTATGATGGAAAATAGACTACAAATGGAAAAGAAAAACAAAAAATAAACACGACAACAGTAAATTATTAATATTTCATTGTTCCTGCTGCCACTTTCTAGGGTGTTCTTTTAAATACAGCAAATGGAAGAATTTAAGTTGAAGTCAGAATTATTAGCCCTTCAGAATTATTAGCCCCCCTGTTTATTTCCCCCAAATTTCTGTTTAAAGGAGAGAAGATTTTATTAACACATTTCTTAACGTAATAGTTTTAGTAACTCATCTCTTGCCATGATAACTGTAAATAGTAATTGACAAGATATTTTTCAAAACACTTCTATACAGCTTAAAGTGTAATTTAAAAGCTTAACAAGGTTTATTTGGTTAACTAAGCAGGTTAGGGTATTAAGGCAAGTTATTGCATAATGATAGGTTGTTCTGTAGACTAACAAGACAAAAAATATAGCTTAAAGTGGTTAATAATTTTGACCTTAAAATGACTTTTAAAAAATTAAAAACTGCTTTTATTTTAGCCGAAATAAAACAAATAAAACTTTATCCAGAGGAAAAAACATCGTCAGACATACTGTGCTGCTCGATTAAACATAATTTGGGAAATATTTAAAAAAGAAAAAAAAAATCAAAGGGGGGCTTAAAATTCTGATTTCAACTATAGCTTTACACTTTTCAAGCATAAACACTTATATTGTTTAGAAATTGTACATGAATGGTAGAGTATACATTTTCCAAGACCAAAAGTCACTTTTGGCCACAACTGTAGATATAATGTTATTTATTCATTTTTTTCAACTATAATATGAGAATATTTATTTAACCAGTAATAATATTTTCCCCACTGGAGTAATTTTTTTAGCACATTTATTTATTTATTATTTAGTAATATCAATTTTAAAAATGCCTGTATTTTTAAAAAGTTTACTTGTATTGTTTAGAAATTGTACATAAATGGTGAAGTATCAAGTATGAAATCATTTTGGCCACAGCTGCAGATATACATTTTAAAATATTTTTTTATATATAGTTATACTAAAATAAATATTAGTTTCTTCCCCACTGGAGTAATTTTAGCGTACTAAGATATAATAATTTATACAATAAGACCCATTTATAAAATACCTGTATTTTCAAAAAAGCTCACGCAATTTCTCCTCGAAATATGTAAACACTCAGGTACTTCGCCAATGTGACCAGAACTCTCTCTGATTGGCCAGTTGTCGTGGAGGCGGGGCTTCTACTGTATTCTTTCCCCTCTTCCTGTCATTGCACCGCGCGAGTAAGAAGAGCCGATGGATGGCTGGCCGGCTGATAAACTATAGGACTAAGATAAGTTTTATTTCCGTATCAACTGTTTATTTAGAATGGAAACAATGAGCTGGCGTTTAGACGGAAAATCTTATGATTTTCAAATCGATATTCTGTACTGTCCTAATGTATGAGTGCCAGGTATCAAGCTACGCACTGCACGCAGGCCAGCCGAAACAACTTGACATTGAAAAATAGACTCGCGGTTCTTTATTACTCAAGTCCAGCCAGTCCGGTTTCACGACGTGCTGCTGTCGTTACCATGTTTACCCTCCCTATAAAATCACTTACGTATAGAATTTAGCCGCTCACATTTCCATAGGAGAGTCAGTTTGTGTGTGTGTTTGTGTGTGTGTGGTGGAGCAGCCTCTTCAACAGGTGTAGGAAAATGAGGGTTGCTGTGATTGTTAGTTGCAACCTGGTTTTTACTCTAGTGGATATTGTGCTTACCACGGTCTTATATATACATGGATCAAACATTGATATATTTTCAGATGAAACCGAAGACTTTGACATACATCGCTCAACTGTGGACTTGTGGGGAACAGTTCTTATACGGGTCAGTCTTCTTTTCGGGGCTTCCATTGGTGTGTTCTTCAACAGGAGAGATGGCCCTCGGAGAGTGTCAAACCTGGGGACTCTGGTGGCTCTCATATGCCTTACCAACATGACTTACGCTTTGGCCAAGCTGCTGATGCTTTCTGAGGAGGGAAACCTGATGTATGACCCCTGGTTCCTAAGTTTGTTCTCCTGGACCTGCGTGGCAGCTATAGGAGTCATGATCTTCTGGAAAATTTTGTCGCAGACTCCCAATGCTGTGTCTGACAGAGAGGACAGTGAGGACACGGAGAGACTAGTGGACGAGACTGAAGATGAGTCTGAGAAGAGCATGAAATCAGGGAAAGAGCATACACATTCAGGGGCCACAATCGGCCGTCTGCTGTCGTACTGTAAGAAGGACTCCAGTTTGCTGAGCATCGCTTTCTTCTTTCTTCTCCTCTCAGCTGTGTGTAAGTTCACTCTCGACAGTTCTCACGGCTGGTGTTTGACTTAAACATTCAAAGAATTGTAATCAATCAGGTAAATATGTCATGTGTTCATTGTTATTTCACGAGTTAATCATTCGTGTTAAACACATATTGAATTTAAGGTAATTGCACACCAAGGCTGTTTACTCTGGCATTATTCAGTTTAAATGGATCTTAAACTAACAATGAACAATGCTTTTATTTTAATATAGCATTTGGGTATTTAATAAAGGGACTCTGACATTGAATAACAATAAATAAATGCTGTAAGAAAATTGATTATTGTTGCTTCATCATAATTTATAAATTCAAAACATTTATTTTCAATTAGATTTTTTATAGATCAACAGTTAAAAAACAAAAGTTATGTTAAATTAGAAATTACAATCTCTGTTAAAGGCATTCCCCCGACAATTCTCCATCATTCTCCTCCTCTCAAATGGGAGAGAGGGCCAAATCAAAGGTTACCAGGGCCATAGTTTGGGCATCCCTGCTGTAAAGGAATGTAATTCTGATTTCAAGTGTATATATATTAATTATTAGCCCCCCTGTTTATTTTTTCCCCAATGTCTGTTTAACAGAGAAATCAAGTCAAAACAAGTTTATAAGTTAATATAAATTTAATGGCATTTCACAAATTATTTATTTGATGTAAAAATGTTTTGTAGCATTTTAAAATATGTTATTGCCACTTTTGATAAGTTTAATTTATTGTTGCTGAAAGTAATTTTTAAATATATACACTACCGGTCAAAAGTTTGGTGTCAGAAAATTATTCTGTTCATGAAGGCGGCATTTATTAAATGTAAAAAAAAATGTTAAATTATAAAATTTTTATTAAAAAAAATTAAACAACTGTTTTTTATTATATGTAGTTTTAAATTTAATTATTACTTCAGCCATTGCATTATTACTATTACCATTGTTATTATTAATAATAATAAATATTTTAGTGATTTCTAAAGGATCATGTGACTGAAGACTGGAGTAATGAAGCTGAAAATTCATCTTTAAAATTATTGGAATAAAATATTAAATTTAATTATAAAATTATATTATTGAATTATTGTTATTTTATAAAATAATTATTTTAAAATATTGTCCCTAAACTATTCAACAGTAGTGTATACACATTTTCATATATCATTCTATATGATGCAATCCTTTTCATCTACACTATAGACGTTATGGATTTCCAAACCTAACGTTCAGAGTACAGTTAGTTGCACAATATTTCTGTGTTTTGTCATTTCTGTAATCTGTACTTTAGTCATTACATGCTTATAAACGCCTTGATGTCTCATAATTAGTAACTTATAATATAGTTTAACCTATTGTTCTAATCTTTAGTCTTTTTCTTTGATTTTCCTCCTTACAGGTGAAGCTTTCATACCTTATTACACAGGGCAAGCAATAGATGGCATAGTTATCCAGAAAAGCATGGATCACTTTGCCAAACCAATGATTACTCTCAGTGTGTTGGCTTTGGTCAGGTGAGCAACACTGCATTTGACTTATTCAACCAAGGCTTATCTGAAAATGTATTGCTATATACATTTCTGGAGTGTACCAATTATGTCCCTGGAACTACGTTTTTTTTTTTTTTTTTGCAGTTTTTGCGAATTCACCAGAGGCCGCTGTAAATGCTTTTAGAGATCAAATTTCTCTCAGGAGTGCCATTCGCCATTATGTCCCTGGAACTACGTTTTTTTTTTTTTTTTGCAGTTTTTGCGAATTCACCAGAGGCCGCTGTAAATGCTTTTAGAGATCAAATTTCTCTCAGGAGTGCCATTCGCCATTCTCCCCTCACCTAAATTCTCCAAGCGCCGCTGTCGACTGACTGTTTGACTGACTAAATGTCTGACTGTCTGATCCACCGACCCATCCTCCTCCTTCCCTAAACCCAACCAATTTCAAAAGCACTGATTGACCTGCCCACCTACTTCCCTAAACCCAACAGACAGTTTTAAAAAGCAATCCGGAAAAGGAAAAGTTCTTACCTGATTTTTACCACATTTTTAGATTTTACCACATTCTCACCCTGTTATTCACTTGTTTATTTTTTTTGGATTTTGTTTTTGTTTTACCTGGAACTGTTCTTCACCGAACTCGAACCCTGTCGTCGTGGTCAACTTCTCTTTATGTCTCAAGTCCACCAACGTACATGGCGAGCTAACTGGACAAACTTTAATCAACGGGAAAGCATTCCATGCGAAGGTATAGCAGCCAGCTTGTAGCGTGAAAAACAATGGCATCATACTGCCCCAAAGAGTTCATTTTAAAAATGAAATGCTGCCATACATCTTTCTGGCTACATAATTCGCAATCTCCAGAAGCATATATAGGGCTGCGTTTTCAGAATGAGCCTATGTTGGACTTTTTTCATCTATTAGTCATTTCTACTGTACTCATTTTCATTTGTACTCTTTGACTATTTATCACTTGTTATTTAGCTCCATAGCCATTGGGTTTCGTGGCGGAGTCTTTTCTGTGACGTTTGCCAGATTGAACATTCGACTTCGCAACCTTCTCTTCAGATCACTAATGCATCAGGAGATCGGATTCTTCGATGCCAACCATACAGGTAATATTGTATTTAATGTACAGTACTGTATTCAGCTACTTTTCTCAGAGATGGAAAAAAAGGAAAGGCAGCACTTTCTTGATATTCTTTAACCATTCCATCTAAATCACTCAGGGTCATAGTTCAGTTAAAAAGGATATATTTGGTCCTGCTTCTGTTGTGGTACATTGAAGAGATGGATACAAAAAGGTTGGATCTAAGTGCATTTAATGAAGAAATAATCGTGCATATAACAGAAAGAGAACGGGACATTCAAAAATCAAAAAGTATTAAAAGAACAACAATAAACAAAACAAGAAGCTAAGGCAAGATATGAGAACACAACACATGAACAACATACCATACAAAAACAAATGACTCAGTAACAACAAACAGGTGCAGGGTGTATAATTAGTCCAAACAATCAATAGTGACAGGATTCAGCTGCGTGTGTGATCAGTGGAAGTGAAACCCGGTGTATGTGTAACGGAATGAAGGGATTTGTAGTTCATGACTGAAATGTAGTTCACCAGCGATCTCTGCAGTCCTTGATCGTTGAACATGACAGCTTCTTTTTGCAATCACTCTGTAAAAAATAGCTTTTTTGACATACATTGGGCGAAATAGTATTCAACACATTATGTTTTTTTCTGGAAAAAAAAAATCTAAAGGAGCTTTTGACATGCAGTTGAACCAGATTTTGGTAAAACCCCAAACAATACAAGCATAAACATGAAACAAAGAAATCTGAAAAAGTTGTTATGCGTAATAACAATGAAATGTACAAGCAGAAAGTACAGAACTACTGAAAGTTATTTAATACTTTAATAAAAGGCTTTTTTTGATAATGGCAGCTTAAAGAAGACTCTCACATGATGCATTGCTTCAACAGAGTGTAAAAATCACTGTGGTTCTGTGGGTTTCGTCTACCAAATCTAAACTTTATTTTGTATTTTCTATTGGATTTAAGTCAGGTGATTGGCTGGGCCATTCTACAACTTGATTTTCTTTCTCTGCAAGCATTTGAGAGTTTCCAATGTTTTAAATCATTGTCTTGCTGAAATAATCACGCTGGTTTCATCGTCATCCTCCTGATAATGTAGATGTTGGACTAAAGCAGCTGATATTAATTTACAATGACAAAAGGCAGAGGGTTGCTGAATAACTACTGAGAGACTTCAGCTGCTGTCTGGGCTTTCACTGCCTTCCTATACCTCCCTTTCTTCAAGTGTACTTTTTCTGTGTCATTTCATGTTATCACACATTAATTAATTTGTAAACTAATTAATACTTTTTTCTTTGCATCCTGTATATGGATTTTATTTGGTTGCTATCAACATCTGCTAAAAATTTCAAGTCAACAGCACATTTAGAAACATGCTTTCTAAGAAAATGGTGATGTAATGAATACTTGTTTCCCCCACTTTATATTGTCTAATTGTACATCTCACATCTCGCATATCAGAGCATTCTGTTGTTTTTATATAGTGACATCATGCCCTGTTTTTGGTTTGTTTATATGTCTTTTTTTATTGGCATTCATAGTTCAATTAAACTGCACCAGAGTTCAAATTTTAGCCCTTTGTTTGGTATGGCAAGGTTCACGCTTTTTTTTAATTCACTATTTTAAATCAACCCTGTGTTTTATACACACATATAATGTACAAAATACAAAATGTGCAAAATAGGTCATTATACACACACACACACACACACACACACACACACACACACACACACACACACACATATATATATATATATATATATATATATCAAGTTTAATCTTAGATTAAAGTTTGTAAACTCTCCCTAAACATAAAGTTCATAAGTTCAGTATTCGAATTGAAACCAATTTCAAATCTGTCACCATATTATTTGCATCTATTTGCATACTGTATTATGATTGGCCTTATCGTTGCTAATGTTTATTGGGCTGAATGTAGTGTGCAGCTTGCAAAAAACAAGATGTGCATGATGCAGCATTTTATTTACAGAGAAACCAACCCCAAATACAAGCTTTCCTAAAATTATTTTGCTGCCTGCATGATTTGCAGATTGAGAGCTGTTTGTTATTATTTCTAAAAGACTTCTTCGAAGTGATAGAAGACACGCAATACAGAACACATAAATGATTCAGCTCTCAATGGTTTTCCTTCCAGGTGACATTACATCTAGACTTACCTCAGACACTACTCAGGTCAGTGACCTCATCTCACAAAACGTGAACCTGTTCCTACGTAGCTTTGTGAAAGCTGTGGGCATCTTCATATTCATGTTTGGGATGTCCTGGAAACTGTCTGTAGTCACTATCATGGGCTTCCCATACATAGCTGTGGTCTCCAAGCTGTATGGAGAGTATTATAAGGCAAGTTATGCACGTTACGTTTTCAACAGTAGCACATGATTATGCCTAAGTGTTTTAACACACTTTTGATGTTCAACAGAAATTAACCAAAGAAGTCCAGACGGCACTGGCTCAGGCCAATAAAGTGGCAGAGGAAACTATATCAGCCATGAGAACAGTGCGAAGTTTTGCAAATGAGGATCAGGAAGGAGACATGTACTACAGCAGACTGCAGGAGATGTTCGTTTTAAATAAGAAGCAAGCCATTGCCTATGCCTGCTTCATGTGGTCCAGCTATGTAGGTATCTTTAGTTTAGGTCCTAACAAAATTGTTAGTTATAACGAGTAGTTTTTAGATTTATTGTTTGTAAACATTTCGTAGCATATCAAAAGTAATTTGGAAGTTCAAATTCAAGATATGATTTCTACCATTCTTTAGATTTCTGAGCTGGCCTTACAAGTAGCAATCTTGTTTTATGGAGGCCATCTAGTGGTGACAAATCAGATGAGCGGCGGGACACTTATTTCCTTTGTTATCTACGAGCTGGAACTTGGAGAGGCTCTGGAGGTATCATTGTTTTTCTTTTGAAAGGGCTATATGCAATAATTTTAATTTATTAATAATTATTTACCAACAAATCAGAATGTATCATTTAGATGTGTTCCTTGTAGCCTCTTATTGGTTCTATAACACGATAAAAATGCTTAAAATTTTTAAGGTAATGCTGAAAGGCTATTTTGTATTTTAATGTCAATGTGCCAGGCATAGAGAATGGATTAATAAAACATTAGTCTTACATTACATTAGTATATATATATATATATATATATATATATATATATATATATATATATATATATATATATGGGTGGGCCATTTATATGGATACACCTTAATAAACTTATTGGGAATTTCACAAGGAAAAACAATGGTGTGCTTGGATATTTTCAAGCCCCCCATATATACTAATGTGCCACAAACAGGACGTAATATCACCAACCATTCCCATTTTATTAAGGTGTATTCATATAAATGGTCCACTCTGTCATGTGATAAATAAAAAATAATAATAAAATCAAATCAAAACTGTGCAATTTTAATGATCTCATCCGTCACCATGATGTCAGTGAATTGCAGAGCTTCTGTAAACATATAACCACGATCAAATGCTTTCTTAACTGCTGCTTTCATAGTACTGCAATTTTTTTTTCTTTTGTTCATTATGCTATTCAGAGAAAAATGCTATACACATTTACATGCTACTCTAAATGTCGCTCGTGGCTGTATGGATGCAATCAGATTGTTGTTAAAAGCTTACCACTACTACAATAACTTCTAATGAAAAAGATAGAACTGTAATCATGTGATGGACCATATCATTTTGTGCACCAAAAAAAAAACAGTTAAAACAACATTGTTTGCCAATGTGTTCCATATCAGATGGGTGTGCAATTACTACAGGCAATATACTTTAATTACTTTTTTGAATGTCTTGAGACTATTGCTTTCTGTGGAGGATGAGTGAGCTCTTAGATTTAAGTTCTTGGATCTAAATTATCTTAAATTGTGTTTCGAAAATGAAGGAAAGGTTTCAGGGAATGGGAATAACACGAGAAAAACTAATTTTTGGGGTGAACAAACCTTTCAGTTGTGCCATGAAGCAAATAATCTCTATAACAATCGCTAATAACAAGGTTTCTGTATTCTACATATTCTTCCTTAAAATTTGTGCTTGTGATGGTCGTATAATGAATTGGAAATGCTTGGTTCTTTTTGCAGAGCATATCATCGGTGTACACCGGTTTGATGCAGGGTGTTGGTGCTGCAGAGAAAGTGTTTGAATATATTGACAGGAAACCTAAACATGCCCTTAATGGCCAAGAAGCTCCAGAGACACTGGAGGGGCAGGTGGAATTCAACAACGTGACATTTGCATATCCGTCACGTCCAGAGATGGATGTATTGAAGGTATTGTTCTTAATTAAAACCAATTAGATTAGATCAGTGGTTCTCAAACTGTACAGAGCTTCAGCTGCTTTACTGGGCTTGCTACTGTATTTCAATACTGCTCATTATGGTGGTCCTTGGAGAGACAATTTTTTCTGAGGTGGTACTTGATGAAAAAAGTTCGAGGACCACTGGATTAGATAGTAGATTTTATTAGTAAATATTGTGATTACCTAATATGAAAGTTTATAATTGGAGACAAATCTGCTCAGATTCATTTGCTTTGTCAAATTAATAATTGTGTAAAAAAATTGCTTGTTTCTGGAATCACATCACATCTCAATAATAAGACAATGTTTGTTTAAATGATTGTGGCTAACATGCAAAGATTAAAGTAATCAATGAACTGCAAAGTTTGATGCTTGCCTTTGAGGATAATTCTTAGGTTTAATCTGCTACAGTATAAATGACATGAGCGGAAATAAGCGATGAATGTGTTTTGCAAATTACTTTGAATGCTGTTTACTTTTAAACTTGATATGCTAAGATGTCAATCAGTAACACGATTCCTAGACATGAGAAGGAAATTAAACCCAATTTTCTTCTCAGAATGTATCCTTCAGTCTTCGCCCAGGGCAAGTAACTGCACTTGTAGGGCCCTCTGGTGGTGGAAAAAGCTCATGTGTGTGTTTGCTGGAGAACTTCTATGCCCCTCAGCAAGGCCAAGTGCTGGTGGATGGGCGACCTGTGAACACTTACCAGCACAAATATTATCACTCCAAGGTAGGATGTATGTTTGGGTTTTCTGTAATTCTGCATTTGAATTAATGCATTATTTAGAAAACACAATTTAAGAATTGTATCCGCTTGCTTATCTGCAACATTATTTGTGATGTGACGTTCTGTACATGATATGACCATAAGAGGGCAGCAGTTGCTGACAATGAGTAGTGAATTGGCCATTTCTTTGTTTTTGTTTTAGGTGGCACTGGTGGCTCAGGAACCTGTTCTGTTTGCCCGTACTGTTCAGATGAATATCTCCTATGGTGTACCTGAAGCTCCCATGGAGGCGGTTATCAGGGCTGCCATCAATGCCAATGCACATGACTTCATAACAGGCCTCTCTAAAGGATATGACTCTGGTTATTATATTATATTATATTATATTATATTATATTATATTATATTATATTTTACACAATCTGTAGAATAAAAAAACAAAAGGTAATTGTGACTTTATCTTACTGTTCTGAATTATATATTTTATGTATCTCAATTGCGAGTTATTATTTTGCAAATCTGACAAAAAAATCCTAAGCAACTGCCATAAATAGTGGCAATTCTTTAAAAAAATAACAATAGCAAGATGAAATTTAGACTTTTAACAAAAAAATTCTGAATTGTCTTTTTAAAAACTCAGAATTGCAAGAAATTAAATCAGAATGTGAGTAATCATATACACAAACCAACTGACAGAAATAAAGTCTTAATTCTGAAAAGAAGTTACCGCATGTAACTCAAAAATTTGACAGAAATTATATATATATATATATATATATATATATATATATATATATATATATATATATATATATATATATATATATTCCAAGAAGTAAATATATAGAAGTTGTTTATTTAAAGGTATAATTCACCCAAAAAGAGTCTTGAGTCTTTTTGTTCTACTGAACACAGAGGAAGAAATACTTAAGTTAGGATGTTGGGGGGGAAACAACCTTTGACCTCCATAGCATTTTTTTATTCCTTATATGGACGTCAAAAACACATTTTTCAACTGGCATTAAAATATAGTTTAATAAGTATGTTTTTAAAATAGTGCAGGTTTGTAATGAGAGTAAAATTGCTATATATTTCTTAAGCGCCATACCACTATGTCAGTAAACGTGCACATTTGTGTGTGTGTGTGTGTGTGTGTGTGTGTGTGTACTGCAATCAGCATTGGCGTGAGACTCATCATTTCAGAAAGGCTTAAATTAACTCCACCATAAGTACCTCAAATAAACTTACTTGGTATTTTTGATTAATGTATGGTGGCCAAGACAGCTTAACGCACTGCAGTTTAGGAAAACACATACTATTAAAACAATGTTTCACATTTATTCATCAGTTTATTTAGTCTAATAATTTACAAAAGGCAATACATTTGTGTAATCAGAATATTAAAATAAACCAAAAAAAAACTCACCTTTCAAAGACCACCAATATCTTCACTGAGCAACAGTCACGGCATAATAAGAAATCCATGTTTCAGCAGGGTCTGTCATGTTTTTGGGTCCCCTTGAAACATTTCTGTTGTGTTATCTGGATATTTACAAGTGTTGTGACAAAATGCAGCGCGTTTCTTCAGTTGTTTGCATTGTGACAATGTAGCAAGTTTATACAGTTGTGTTGTGAGAATTTGCAACACACGTGCTGTCAAACTGATGAAGATCTTTTCTTTATTTGCTGGTCTTTTTGTGATTGCTCTCGACCATCGTACTAATGAGCTGTATTTCAGTTTTCATCCAACTCAGTTTTCATCTGTCTCTGTCACTGTGCTGTTTATCTGATGTAACACATGATAATAAGAAGCAGGCATGCACGTGGGAACGGTGGGCGAGGAGAAGTAGCTCGTGTTCGTTTAAGGCCACAGGCTACATAAACAGCTACACTATACTCAGACACCAAAATGGGCTGATTCTGGAGGCTATAATAAATAATCTGATGGGTATTTTAAGCTGAAACGTTACAGACATATTCTGGAAACACCTAAGGCTTGTTTTACATCTTGTATAAACGGTAAAAGAGGTGCCCTTTAAGTCTTTTATTATTTATTTTTTATCTATGGCAGAAACAGACTTTTGTTGAAGCATTTGACTTCTAGCTTACTTGCCTGCTCTGTGCACAGGGGTCGGAGAGAAGGGCACTCAGCTCTCTGGTGGGCAGAAACAGAGAGTTGCCATCGCCCGAGCTCTCATCAGAAGCCCTCGCATTCTCATTCTGGATGAAGCCACAAGCGCACTGGATTCAGAAAGCGAATACATAGTAAGCAACGGCTATTACATTTGAAGACTGGCTCTAGTAAACATTTCAGTGTTGATTTAGACATCATTCCACTCACTATTTTGTTCCAGGTTCAGCAGGCTCTGAACAACTTGATGCGGGAGCACACAGTTTTAGTGATTGCCCACAGACTGAGCACAGTGGAGAGAGCAGACAACATCCTTGTGATCGACAAAGGCTCTGTGGTGGAGCAGGGCCCTCATGCTGAACTCATGGCCAGAGGAGGCCTCTACTGTAAGCTGGTGCAGAGACAGATCCTGGGCACTGAAATCGATGTAGATGATAAAAACCCATCGCCAGCCCCAACATGGGAGCTAAAGACAGAAGATAAGGAGAATGCAGAGGACTGTAGTGACACAGAGTATGAAACACGCTACTGAGAGCCAATCATTTTGTGCTTTATATGATTATTGGTATGAAGGCCTTAATACTAGATTTGTTTACTTGATCGGATATTGGGATATATCAGATAATGTGCATGTCAAAGAATGTTTACTACAAGACTGGGGGACTGCCTTGAATAATACTTTAAGCAATAAATACTTGATGCATCTGATGTACTGTATATTAGTTTTAAATGTGTATATCTTAATTTAATTGTATTATTCAAGTTATAGAAATAAAACATATGGATGGATGGAAAATAATTCTTGTTTTTTTTTTAATGAGCCAGTATACAGTAGAATAGGACTATTTTTTTCATTTATTTAATTTTCATATTTTATTTTAAGGTTATATATGTCTGGGTGTATTTTAAAAATTTTGGTGGCATGGTGGCTCAGTAGTTAGCACTGTCGTCTCACAGCAAGAAGGTCCCTGGTTTGAGTCCTGGCTGGGCCAGTTGGCATTTCTGTGTGGAGTTTGCATGTTTCCTCCAGGTGCTCTGGTTTCCCCCACAGTCCAAAGACATGCTCTATAGGTAAATTGGGTAAACAAAATTGGCTGTCCGTGTATGAATTTGAATTTGTGTATAAATTTGAAGAGTGTTTGGGTGTTTCCCAGTACTTGGTTGTGGCTGGAAGAGCATCCCCTGTGTATAACGGGGCGGACTAAGTGATTTAGGGGCCTTAAGAAACTCCATGTATGGAGCCCTAGCATTAAAACTCGAAACACTCTCTTTCTCTATAGATTTTTTTTTTTTCCCCTGTAAATTAAAAACTAGTTTGAGCATGATTTACACCAAGAAAGAGTTTTACATGCAATATTATTAAGATTGTTTTAAGGAGTTCACATATAAATAAAAATCCTTTTTGAAAATAAAAAAGTAATGGTGTTTCTTTGAAAATTAACATTTATGTAAAATTTTGCCATAAAGAGCAATAAATTACTTACAAAGAGAAGGATCTACTTTCAGAGAGTAACAAAATAAGTTTTGGGGATACACAAGTTTGGAAATAAGAATTTTTAAATAAAATTGGAAAAGTCAACCAAAAACACTTCATAAAAACACTCCCAAAATAAATGATATAGTATTTTGTTATATTGAGTACACAATGAGCATTTAGGGGAAATATTGTTATGAAATTTAGCTTGGTATTAGCAATTATGAATGATTTTGATTGAGACGTCGACAGCTTAATTTGATAGTTTTTTTTTATTTATTTATTTTTTATTTTTTGCCAAAGAAGCCAAAACTGTTCCCAATCGTCACATATTATTCCAAAAATTCTGTGCAAGCAGATTCTTTGTTTGACATAGAACTGAGAAGAGTTTGGTCAACAAAAAGATTTGTGTTGTCAAAAATAAAAAAAAATCTAATGAACCTTTAGGGCCAGATATTACTAAAGGTATAACACAATGGAGAATTGCACCAAAAACAATGGCATATTCTTTGGGGGGAACTGGAAAAGAAAACTGATGCATGAATTCTTCATATGAGAAAAGGACATCGCAGAGCTGACTAACTGAAAGAATATTTTTATTTAACCAGATATTTAAATATATATATAATTATTTTTATATCTAATTTTTTAATTGTTCCAAATAAAATAGGTACAAGGAAAAAAAATATAATTATATGTAAGGTAAAGTTTGTGACAGTGCAAAACTGAAGACAGAGCTTGCAGTGATGTGCTGGCTGACGTCACCCATCTCGTCGTCTTCCGGCTGGAAATAACAGCTTTGCCCAGTGCCAGTGCGACCGAGCGCGATCCGCAGACAGTTGCAAGTGTGAAGGGATTGCTGTGCCAGACATGGCTGGCTTCGAGAACAAGTTGGGTTCTTATACTTTAACACAGTTAAACGAACTGCTCGAGGATGACGATAAACTCAACAAATTCATCGACGAGTCAGAGGAGGTAAGTTTCTTTTTGTCGTGAAGAGCGTCGCGAAGTTACCGCGGCGAGTTGACTTGTGTTTGAAACGGCACCGTTTATACGAGGTTCTGCATCGTAGGCCGTGTTTACTTTAATACATACATGAGGCTTGTCTCGCAGTTACGACGGCATTTCATTTGGAACTCTTTAAACTGGAACATTTCGGCGCGTGACTTCAGTTTCGTTTGTTTTTAACGTCGCTGACTATGACTCAAGTGTTTGTGATGTCATTCCTTAAAAACAACACATTGTAACTAAGACAAAGTGACCTTGTCACGGAAGCAGAAACCCGTCAACCGTGTGAATAATATCCTTGAGTTAGGGATATACATTTCCCTTATAGAGTATCCTAACGTTATTTATTTGTGTGTCATCCATCAGTTATAGAAGTCATTTACTTTTTGATCTTCTTTTGTAGTCCGTTTGCCTTCATGTATCATTATATCAACACTATTCTATTACAATCTCTCATCTTGACGTTATGAATGTTGTTATGGAAAAAGTGCAGTCGAAAACTGAATGTCTCGAGAATATGTGTCATATTTATTGATAGAACTGAAATGATTGTTGGTTGCGTTATTACAGTTTTAACTTTCAGTGACCTGAATACTTTAATAAATAATGTCACTTAATCTCACCGTCATACTTGTACATTAACAGTAACAATACTATAATACTTTAATTATAGTACTTTAATGTCATCATAATGTTTTAACTGTGATGTCATTTTATTAAAGTTCAGTTTTATTCTTGTCGGTACAGCTCAATTAAAAATGATCTGTTCCCTATAGCCGAGATGTTTGTTGGACTTGTTCCCTTTTTAAAAACAACACACAACTTCACATGTTCTTTCAAGTCAGCTTTTAAAATAGTTTAAATGTATTTGTTTATAAACAAAAATTATAGCCTACATGTTTATAATCTAGCCATACATTTGCAAAACATATAAGTAGTTTGACTATGTATATATTTAACATAAATACTTTGAAATGTTAATAGTACCAGTGCAAATATGCAAAAAAAAAGTAGAGATTTAATGAAGGCAAACAAAATGGTACAAAGTGAATATATGTGTAAAGAGCAGAGTATTACGAATTCTAGTGCACATTTATGCAAAATGGACCAAATACATAGTTGATTAATTTGTGATCAAAGTTGAGCATAAATGTATCCACATTCCACATCTCAGGAGACAACAGACTAAGCAGTGCCAGTGCACACATTATCAGTTCTTCTTTTGCTCACTCTGCAAGTTCAGAGTTTGCTCAGTTCTGTTTGCATATGGTCAATTAGATACTATTCTGGGCATGTTTCACAGCTTTGAGTTGATTTGACCTCCAGATTCACGGAAAGATGTCAACCTTGACTCGGTATGTGTCCTGAGAGCTTGTTTGATCTGGCAACATTGTAACTTGCTTTTTTAACCAGGCCAACTATGTTATTTATAAAGGATATTCATAGCTATGCATGTTGTTGTTGCTATTTAAAAATCCTTTTTAAACCTTATAAATAAATTTTGATGCTGAATTATGTTACTGATTGAAATGGGTTATTGCTGATATTCCTGTTCCGGAAGCTAAATATAGTCACATTTGTAAATGTGGACACAGTAAATATATCTGCCACAGTAATAAAATGTTTGCAGACTACTAAACAAGTCAAAAGGTTGTACGAGTGTCATGTGATGATGAACAGACCTGTCGTTAGTCATGTTTGAAGAGGACGAGCATTGTGTAATCACTTTCCGTCCTTATGTGAAGTGAATCTTTTCAATGTCTCCCCAATGTCCCATGTGCAAATTATTAGGCATGTTTCCATCAAATTGTTAAAGCAGCTGACTGTAGTATTGTACTGTAGTATTGTACTCGGTCTTGTTCAGTAATCAGGACACTGATCAGTCGCAAAATTCTTTAAGTGCACTAAAACTTTTACTGCCTAAAAAGTCCAACAATGCATGGTGAAAATCATGGCGCATTGATGCTTACTGTTTCCTTAATATAATTCTGAACTGCAAAACATGAATCACGTAAACCAAATCATCAAATGAAGACAAAGTTTTTTTGTTTTATTAGATGTAGCTTTTTTTTTTTACTATAAATGAACACATTTAGACAGGAACAGAACAGTCTAGCAAACATTTATAAATTGTTAATGGTTGAAATGTTAGTGGTATATGAAACAATCCTATTTTTTAATTATAATGTACTTTTCAAAAAAACTCTATAAAATTATGTGAAGTAGCCTGGCTTCTTCCCTTCGTCTCTTACGATCGCACTGGTTCACACACACAAATAAACTCACACACATATATGAGCTAGGGAACTGATTGAGATGCATCCTTGGTAATCTAGTTACTAGAGCTGGGCAATATCGCAAAAAACTATCAGGATATCAGCTTACATATCACTCGATATCGATAATTATTGAATATTTTATAACAATCCATTTAGGATTTTTTAAAATTTAACAACATTACCAAGGCAAATAGTTTCAATAGTCAAAAACAAATATATTTAAACAAAATATCTGATCTCTTCATAATAAAGGAAACATAAATGTTAAAGACGCTCTTAAACTTGATGAATAAAATATTACAAAGTGTGTGCAATGGTAAAGTGTAAATGCTTAACAATCAAACATGTGCTTGTCGCTCCCATACGTGTGTCGTGCAAGTCGCACACCTCCCTTGGAAATTATAAACGTACACCCTGGCTTATTGGCACTGCATCCAAGGCATGCGCTTAGCAGCCACATTCTAATAAAACTATAGCACTTCATACCGTATCTTTTTTTTAATCAATATTGACAATAGTGTTCGTCAATACATATCCATACCGATGTTATCACCCAGCCCTACTAGTAACCAATAGTAAACAAGGCAAGCAAAAAGCAGTCGCGCAAATGTAATGTTGACTATCAGAGATTACTCGGAAAATGTGTTTCCATCTCCTGTTTTTTGCATTATACCCGCAAAGTCTGAAATAACCTCAAACAAATTTAAAAACATTCAACACAAATTATGTTATTCACGAAATTTTTATCACTTCTTTCTCAAGCTACACTTCAAAATGCGTATTAACACATGGTGATAGACCCCAAAGTCCCTTTAGGGCAAGTTATTTTACTCATTGCAGCCATCTTTAAAACACCTCTCAGGCAGTATGCTCGAGCATTCTGTTTAAATGAGAAAATGTTTCCCAAGCCTACGATTAAATTTTATATTAGGAAGCACCAATAAAAATAAACAACTGTCTCTTTAGTTTCATTTCTGATTGTTAAACTAAAATCTGCAGAAACTCACGTCTGATCCGAGCTCCTCCCCCAGAGATCTGTCAGCCTACATTGATTGATGATTAGCTCCTTTACTAAAAAGCGGGGCTTAATTTGCCATATGACCGTTACACTTTTCCCCATTTAAAACTATACAAGTGACACATCTTGTGTATTCTATCGTCTTTGTAGAAACCTAGCGGGTGATGAGCTGTTTTTTTTTTACTTTTTACGTTCTAGAGTAGGTGTACTAACTGGTTTCAAAATTATTTGTCAGCAATCGGATGATTTCAGCTCGTTTGATTCAAATTCTGATGTACATATATATTTTAGTGCACATGTTTTGGGTATTTATTTAGTTTTTATCCTAATGTCAGCATCCTGGCAGAGTGTTTAAAAGCTCAGAAGAAAAAATCTGTCCTGACCTGCCAGATGACACATGCAGTTGTTTGAGAAATGTGAAATCTGTCACTTCTTCCTGTTATGCCGTCTGAAACTTGATCTCTGAACTGAAACTCCGAAGTTCACCTGTTGAAAAGGGAGGAGTCTTGATTTCATTTAAATACTGTTATTTATATATATATATATATATATATATATATATATATATATATATATATATTTTTAAATACTGTTATATGTTCTTCTTGGCGGTCATAGGTCCGTGTGTCATGTGGCATTGTATTGTGTGAGGTGAATGACAGTGGAAGGTGAATTCTGAAGACTTTTTTTGTTGTGTGTTTGTGTGTGACTGTTGTGGATAACTTGAACCTCTATTTATAAAGAACTCTTTATTTTGGATCGTAATGTCCTGCCTCTGTTGGAGTAGTAAATACATTGATCATTTGGTTCAAGCTTAAGGCTAGCCACCCCGATATCAAAGGTCAGCTGATTCAAATTAGTTTTGTGATTGACTCATTTTAAACCTCTGCCCCTATTATGGACTAAGAAAAGTCCATATTTTGGTTTTGGGAGTTCCCAAGAACAGTCAACCCAGCAATGTTTGCTATAGGTTCATGCATGCAAAGTCAAAAAATACTTTCATTGTCAAATAATGTGCCTTAATTTTTACCTTATTTGCTCAATGACTCCCAAATGAGTCACTCAAAGGTACACTGTTAATGTTTATTTGTTAATGTTTCACATAGACATCAACATGAAACAACATATACCTCAACAATAGCTTTACATAATACACAGTGTGCACTTTCAGATGTAAATCTTTTCAGACTGTTTTCATTCACTCAGTGCTATCATTCACATCACTGCCTTAAAGGTATTTTTCAGAAATTCATATAATATTGGCACTTTAACCCATTCTTAGTGGTAAATATTATATTTTATGCAATCAACATTGTATTTAACTATCACAATCTTAACTTCTTTCTTATTTTACATGGAAATTACATATTACTCAATGATTGCATTTTCTAACTTAATTATTGCGTTGCATAGATTTCAGATACTTAAAGTCTCTGTGAACTGGAAGTTGCTGCAGACATTTGTTTCACTATGATGTATTTCTATATATAACTTAAACCGTGTACTGAGTAGGAGGAAGAGTTTTATTTTTTATGCTTCTCCTGTCATCTTTCATCTGGAAACTAATGGAGGGAGGGGCGTGGCTAAGCATATTTCGCCCAGTCTGTCGAATTTACCTAAACAGGGAAGGACAGTTACTCCAAAGCAGAATCAGATGGCCAGCTTTTGATTTAAGATCCAGTGAATTAACTTGCACAGAATAATTGTTCACTTTAAGACTAATGTGAGCTAACAAAATAAACAAAGTGAATTTTAATTTCATGCAAATTTAAACCTTTCAAGCAGTTTTTCTGATAAAAATGAATGTATTAATTCACACAAATACTCGAGGACCCTTTAACTGCTTCAGATATTTTAAGCCCTGTGGTGCACTGTCTTTGGTCCACTGATCTGGAACATTTTGTGGTTTGTGGTTTTATGTTGAATGGTTAACTCCACCTTCTGCGTCTTCTGAACACTACTTTCTTTGGAATCTTGCCTTGTTTTATGCTTAACAAGTTTACTGACTCTGCCTTAACCACCCTAAAGGAATGCCATGTCACTCCCTAAATTGAACGGAACACCTCTGAAATGAACTGGACTGTAAACCAGATCCCATTGCCCACCATCAGTGGCAGACTTCAGTGATGCATTTAGGTTCGAGTGGGAGAAAATCTCTGCTTCCTTATTTGAATATACTGGGAAACCATATACTGGGATAGAGTGGGAGCCTTTATATCAATAAATGGCTGTAGTTTTGAATTTACATTTCTAAATGTTCAGGTGCAGCGTTTGTAATAAAACAAAGGAAAAGACCAAATTCATAACATTTACAAAACCAAGTTATTTCGACATTGAAAAGTTAATATTTGGGCCCAGCAAAACATATGCACTGAAAAACATGATTAATTGGATTTACTACAGTTGTTTATGGTAAAAGGTTATTTGCAAACAATTTATATGGGCTGAATTTAAACAAATTTAACATTACTAAATTTAACTGTTTAAGTTTGGCCCATATAAATTGTTTGCAACCACTTATCTTTAAAAAAATGTAGTAAATCCACTGATTCATTTTTTCAGCGTACTTCTCTTTTATGTAATGTAATGAATGGGTTATAGATTTAACCTTCAGTTTTAACTACCCACATATCATGGTATTTACTCTACCAGATTCATTCTCTCACCTGAAGCTGCAAAATGACACTGAGATATTTATTAACTCAAGTAAAAATGTTAACACTTGTCAGAACAAAACTACAATGACAATGCAACATTTTATTCCATTAAGTTAACATGACCCAATAGCTTTCTGCCTTGACTGTCTTTTTTTGACAGCTTTTGTTAATACTATCATTTGATATTTGTCATCTAAGTTTTGTGTTTCATTTTAATCTACGTTTGTACATTTTTCTCAGGATTCTTTGAAAAAATGTTTTAATAAAAAATAGCACTGGTTTGAGAAATGTATGTAATGTAAAAGTCACTACAATCATTTTGATCAGTGTAGAAACAAAGCAAAAAGTACTCGCATCAAAATTTTGAAAGGCAATTCACATTAACATACGGCTCTAATACCAGACATTCTATTTTAGTCCCTGTATCAAATAAAATTGAAGTTTAAAAAGCGTGTTTAAATTATAGATATTCAAATGAAAAAATAATTTTCCTTTGTGTTTTGATGCAACAGGTATATTTAATTCAATTCATCTTTATTTCTATAGCACTTTTACAAAGTGAATTTTGTCAAAGCAGCTTAACATAGAAGTTATAGTAAATTGAAACAGTGTCAGTTCAGTCATCAGAGTTGAAGTTCAGTTCAGTGTGGTTTAAATTTCATTGCTGAAAGTGCAAACATTGAAGAGCAAATCCACTGATGTGCAGCTCCATGAGTCCCAAACCTTGAGAGAAACCAGGCCCAGTTGGACACGACCACTTCTACTTTGGTCAAACTTCTTGTGAAGAGCTGCATTTCTATAATAAAAATGACAATTAATTAGTGTTTGGGATCTGCATTATTTTTTGTTTACTGTTTTAATGTTGTTAAATGCTTTTTGTTGTAAATATGACACATTTGTTTGGTACAATGGTTTGAATGTATAATGCTTTTTTTTAAAGCTGTATTACACCATCATTGTTTTTATGCTTGAAAATGTGACATTTTATTGAGTTACTATCCTTCCCTTCTTCAGATTAAAGGGCTACAGCAAAACAAGGAGACGACTCTAGCTAATAACCGTTTCCTGGCTGAACAGAACCTTTTACTCCAACCCAAACTTGACCACCAAAAGAACGAACTCACCAGACGCTACCGGGGCCTGCAAGAGCTGTATGAGGCTTATCAGCTGCGCAAGTCCACTCTAGGTAAAACTTTTATGATAATTAAACATCCTTTCTGTCTTTTTAAGCTTTGCGTTACACTGTTTACTTACTCATCCTCTTTGTTTATCACTGTATATGGTGCTTTATTTATGTTCTCAGGGCCATTTCTACCTTATGTTATTTAGAGAAGCTGCAGAGGAGACAATGTAAATGTGTGTGTGGTCCTTCTAGGCTTTAACATATGGTGATGATGTTGTGGCTTGTGAACATATGAAGCTAGTCATCTTTTCCTGCTATAGGATAACTCTCTCAAGGGCCTGTTTTTCAGGTTTTAAATGTCATTTTTCTTGGACTATTATTTTCTGTGCATTACTTCCCTTACGTCTCTTCCTCGTGGAAACTAAAGGCAGAACTAAACTGTAGCAGATGACTGTCACAGCGAAGAAGAATCTGTGACTTTAAAAAGAACAGGCTTTCAGTGTCCCTCCAGGACTCTTAGTGCAGTGTGCGTGTGCGTTGGTCTCCTGAATAAAACACTGTCAGTGATTTCCCTTTGTGACACGGTGGTTGCCTGGAGTCTGATTCCAAACAGTGTGCTAACACTTGTTTTATTTTACCATCTGTACACTCGTTGTCTGCTGGCTCGGGATTTGACTTATGCTGTATACTAGAGGTGAAAAACAAGTGGGAAGTTTTTCTGTCTGCCGCTCCCTCCGAGCTGGATTTTAGTGTTTGGATCTGTGGGTGTGCATTTGCTGAGAAGAGTCTTGACAGTGTTTTTATTTTATCCAGACAAATGTACTTATTGCAAAATGTTTGGGATATAAAAAAAGTTTATACTTATGCAAGTCAAGTGTACAGTTATTATTTCTTTTCTTAACTGGCTCCTCCTGGTGTGTGCATTTGCTTCACCACTGTAATGGCTTAGTATAATGGTTTGGTATAGTTGATAAATTTATAATTTCTACTATTTAACGGCTCTTAAAGGTGGCATAGAATGAAAATCTGGATATATCTAGACAGTGTTGTGGGTAATGCATTTATTTACTTTTCTAAGTAACGAGTAAAGTAATGCATTTCTTTAAATTAAGTAATAATATTTGAATTACTTGTAAAAATGTAATGCAAGTTACTTTTTTAGTTTAATGACCCGAGCTCTCTGGAGAAAGTGAAACCGCTCGCACTTTAGACTGCTTTGTAAACCACTACGGGGAACAGGGTAGATTTTGGCTTGGCTTTGTGGCTGTTCATCACGACAAAGACAATGTTTGTTTAAGCTTGGGTCAGTTATGGCTCGCTATTATATGTATATATTATTCTGATGTAATTAGGGTTGTAACAATATACCGGTATGACGGTTTACCACGATTTGAACGTGCACGATTATCATTCCATGAACAATTGCATATCAACGGTTTTAACCCTTAAAGACCGAGACAGCCCGCGGCTAAAAATAAGTATTGCTCTTAAATGTTTAATAACTTTTGATCCGCTAATCCGATTCATACAATTCAAAGATTGGCATAAAGAAGAGAATTTTAGCTTTCCAGTGCTGTATCACATAACATTCGGAATCAGGCTACGGAATCAGTGCGGTTACTTCATCAAAATTTGACAACGCTGATTTGACAAAGAAACGCTCGTCACTGTGACTCTGGACAAACCAGACATGATACATTGATGCATTGTCCCTCCTCCATGCCCAGATTGGTTCAAACTCGCTATATCACAACCAATAAGCATAGGTTTCACTTTTGTTTGTGGACCAACAATGAGCTTTTTGAACAACACGGAATGAGAGAAAGGCATACATTTATGCACGGCTAAATAAAACGCAAAAAAAAAAGTTTTGCATGAAATAATTCTCATACTAAGTACTTTTGCATGCACAGCAGCACAGAAAAATGACAAAACAGTGACACAGCAAAGACGAACTGCTGCTCTTGCTGTTTTCAAAAGACGCAAATGAAGATGCAGCTGTTTGTCTGCATTGCAGACAACCATATCCAAATCCACAGACAACCATATCCATGCTGGCACATAAAACCTAAGGATGTTCCATATTGAATCTAGTTTCGTTATGTAACTATTTATAGTATAGTAAATATTTATATCTATTTTTTATTGTTTATTTGGACTTTATTTGGACTTTGACACATTATTTATTATTTTCTTATTTTTTATTTGTTCATTGTAAGTGGTGTTGTTTATAGTAACTAAAAATATATTATTTGGAAAAAGTCAAATTTGCTTCACTGTTCTATTATTTTGTAACATTTGTAACATACCGTATACCGCGAAACCGTCAAACCGTGGTATTGTTTTAGACGATTATCATACCGTAAAAAATTCATACCGTTACAACCCTAGATGTAATTGTAATGTGTCTGATATATTTTTTAAAATGGCAGTTCCTTTGTTTTCATTCTACTGGCTTGTGCTCATGCTAGTGAGGTTTCTCTGTAAACCAATACTGTTCAGTTTCTCGTCTAGCTCTGCTTTTTGGTACCTTTTGACAGTGGAAACGGCCATAAAGCTTACTAAACTGTACCGTATCGTACCACTCAATGGAAACGGGCCATAATTAATTAGCTTTTAAAAAATAAATTGCTGAATTCACGCAGTTAATGAGAGAATGAGCTCTCCGCAAAGCAATTGTTATTGATTATTTTCAGAAGTAACTTTCCCCAAACCTGTCGAGGCATAGCTGAATAAAATTATTTCCATACATGGAAATGACAGTGGCATTGTTTTCTAGTTCTCATGTAAACCGGGTGAAAAATCCCTGTGAAAAGAGGCCAGTCAGAACAAAACACAGTAGACTGTGATGATCCTCATTGGATTATTACTGTGTTTATATTTGAACTTTGTGTGTTCATTGCCTTTTCACTCTTCTCTACCAGCACCACGAGTGAGATGTTTGTCTCTCTTGTGGTCTGGCTCACTTTTGTTGTTTTCATTCAGAGGAAACAAACATGATGAAATGACACGTCATCTGTATGGGGATGAAGAGAAAGATAGTGGCTTTGGTGAAATGTAGGTTACCCACTTTCTCAGGCTGGTGTAGTTAACCGTCCCAGATAAGGATTATCTGGCTCTGAGCAGCAGCAGAAACAACAACAACAGCAGCAGCAGTGCCAGTGCATCTGGACTGGGTAGCAGTCAGCAGGATGGCCAGTCAGCCGTTTACTTGTCCCAGATAAACAAAAGCCCTAGTCTTCAAGCTAAATACTGTGGTGAGTTTCCTGTGTGTACATTAACCCACTGCCACCCCCATTCCAAGAGCTGTGCCATGACAACGGAGCAGTTCGCTGGGGGTGTTTCGGTCCATTCTGATGCTGCGCTGTTGCTGATCTCTGGACTAAGAGTGTGGCTTTGTGCCCTGAGCAATGACAGAAGCAGGGGTTGGAAAAGGGAGGAGGCAGCAGACACAAACATTCAGGATTTTCCCTCTTTCTCTGCTCTCTCACACAGTTTCGTAGAGCACAAAGTAGGCCAGGCTGGCTGCAAACCAAAACATCTCGTGATCTGCAGGATGTCTGCAGAAAGCACTGCGTTATATTTCTTGTAGTATGCTTTGTTGATCTGTTTGTTTAGGCAAATATTAGGCAAAAGTGTTTTTTTTTTTTTTTTTAGCTTGCCTGAAGATTTGCATGTTCTGCACAGGTCTACTGTACTTTGGTATTGTGCTAAATATATGTTAGCTTGTGCACTTCACTATAGTAAGTCTGATTGGGAAGTGGAAAAGGATTGGCAAAGTGAAGAGTCATTCTGCACAGGGACTGCTTTTACTTGTTCTCCAAAAAAATAAAATATGGTAAAGTACATATTTTGAAAAGTGTCCTTATTTAGGCAAACGCACCTTTTTTGTCTCAAGGTGTGTTTACATTTGTAATTTGGTTCTCTTGCTTTGGTTATTTTTGTACTGATAAAGACAGTGATACATTTTGTCATAGTTTGCTTGGTGTTGGTGTAAGACCAAACCTAAAGATACAAAATCTAATAATAACAATGCACACACACACACACACATACAAATGTAATGGCTAGCCTATGATGAGAAAAAACAAGTATGTTCTAGCATTCTGACGACTGATCTGTACTCCAGAGTGTGGGACCTTGTGAATTCACATTTAGTTTTTGGGTAAAAGTAGAGTGTGCTTTAATCTAATCAAACATGGCAAGAGCAAACACCCTAAAGCAGTAAGGCATGTTTTGTCTGGAACTTAATGGGTTTGTAACTTAAAAATTATTAACAATCCAGTCCCCTGGTACCTTCGATCATCTTCAATTAAGATATTATAGATGAAATTTGAGAAGCTCCTACATCCTTCATAGACGGCAACAGTCCTGACTGCTGAAGCATTCAAAGTCGAGAAAAGGAACCAAAAACATTAACAAAACACTCCATGTGATATCAGTGGTTCAGTTGAAGTCATATGAAGCTCCATGAATATTAAAACTGCAATACTTTATTCACTAATGTCCTCCATTTCAGATCAGGGTGCACAATTAATATGGGCAACACAATGCTTGTGTGATGCGCTGCTGTCTTTAATGATAATATGTCGTACTGCCAGCCCTTAGTAAATGTGAACCCTGATGACTTGATGCGTGGGGAAAAATATAGGCAAATGGTCATCTACACTTGTTTTTTGTTTTGTTTTGGCTCAAAGTGTTTTTGGAGCTTTATATGATTACAGTTGAATCACTGGAATGTTTTCACAATGTTTTTAGTCCCTTTTCAGGACGTCTTTTGGGATGCACCGATATGGATTTAAAAAAAAAAAATTTTGGCCAGTATCAATAACCGACAACTAATAAAATTTGGAGGCCGATAACCGGTAAATGTATATTATAATAAATTTGATATGATAAATAATTTCTAAATTTTGTATTTTTATACTGTAAAGAACTGATTTTATTTTAAAAGTTTGATATGATTGTATGAACTTAATAGCCCACTCAAAAATCTACTTTCAAAAAAGCCTACTTTTAAAATTGCAAGGTGATTATATAGATATATTCATGATTTCACATAAATCAGCATGTAAAAAATAAATGATTTCCTTTTCTTTACATAGCAAATTAACATGCAACTTGACTGTTGCTTAAAAATAACAAGTTAACTAACAAAATGAGATTTAATCAACAAACAAGTAAAATATATTTTAAAAAAATGAAAATGAAAAAACTAAGAACTGAAACCAGCTCAAACGTTCTTTAATAAAACGTGTTACAGTAATGTACATATGTGCAAATATGGAATATCTGAAAAAGCATTTTGTGAGGTGTTTCGACAGTTCAGAGCCACCGTTCAAGTGAAAGGCTAAATACAGATAGTATTACTTTAGAAAATGCGACATAAATTCGTCCCATTGGGCGTTTTAGATATTTTTGAGCACATGTAGGTGCTGCCTGTCTGTCAGACAACGCTTTTTGGTTCATTCTTTCTGTCAATTGCCGAAAAAATTATTGATAAAAGGTTTATGATAAACCAATGGGAGTTTGAAACTTTAACTACAGGCATGGTAAAATGCACATACATGCAAAGCGGAGTCGAATTTAAAGATATCGGCCTAATTTTGACATCAGATTGATAACGATAACATTAAACATAGCATTTATCAGCCGAGAACCAAATGGCCGATATATTGTGCATCCCTACCACCATTACTGTACATGGAGGATGAGAGAGCTCTTGGATTTTATCTAAAATATGTTAAATTGTTGTCTGAGATGAAAAAATGTGTCAGGGGATTGGAACAACATTTAATGTGCAAAATTTTATCGAAATTATAAATTTAATGTAGTTTTGCCATTTAATATATCCATTTTTACTGACATACAAATAAGAAACAATGCAGTGGGTATGCATGATATTTTTATCATGGCCACAGCAAGAACACATAATGAGACTATTGTTAGTTCCCTCTGCCAGGAAAATAAATTTAAATAAATGCAAATCAGTGAGAGGAGCTGGACTGATCGATGGCATAAGTGAAAGTGACCATACGGAATGAATTACAAGCTTTCAACATGTTTCATATGTCTGACAGCTTTGGTTCCTATTTCCTTATTAAATCAAAACTTATTTTGTTTTTACTTTATTTATGCCTTTATCTGTTTAATTCAATTTTCATTACAACTGTTTTGTGTGTGCTTGCATGTTCTAAATGGTTTCCAATTTATTTTCCCTTTCTTTTTCCAAGTAGTCTTTACTTTGAAGTTTAGACCATGTCTCTCTAATAAATGGGTGTTATATAAAGAAGCTTGTGTAATTTAAGCAAATAATGCATTAATTTAGTTTCTGACGCAATCGTATGTTGACCTCTGAGAATTTGTAACAGGCACACCCAGTTGTACAGTGAAATCTGAAGCCTCTGGCTCCTGAACTAAAAGGGTTTCTAATTTATGTTCATCTTTTTTGTGGGTCTAACTATGTTAAGCTATTTCTAACCGAAGTGTAAAACACGTTACTCTTAGTAATGAGTGTAATATATAAAATGTTAGATAATTTAAGCAGAATGCAAGATAAATCTGCATTAAATGAGTTTGACAAGTGCCAGTTGACCTCTGAGAAGTTCTGACAGGCACGTCCAGTTGTACAGTGAAATCTGAAGCCACGGCTGCTGAACTAAAAGGTGAAACACACCCTGTTGATGCTTTGGCAAATTTACTTAAGGCATGTACACCGTCATCAGATTTATCTGGCCATTTTTTTGACACGCCTCTCTAATATTTTTCATACATTTTCAAACTATAAATAGTTTTCTATTTTAACTCAGGGTTTCTGCTTAAACAGTGAAGATCCCACTCAGTGTTTCTTCTGTTCAATATTTATTACTGTAAAACGCATTCTATTGGACGGTCCTGCATTTAATGACTGCAGAAGGGTTTTTATGAAATGAGCTCACTCAATAAGATATTCAGTAAAGTATCACAGAAAAATTTGTAGAATTTAGTCATGGATTAATGTGAATTTAAAAAAAATCATATCTGCTTAATGTATTCATTTGTTTGAGTTTTTAATTACTTTAATTTTATTTGAATGAATCTTTGGTGACATTGCATTTAAATATAATATAATATAATATAATATAATATAATATAATATAATATAATATAATATAATATAATACAGTTGAAGTCAGAGTTATTTGCCCCCTTTGATTTATTTATTTTTTCTTATTTAAATATTGCCCAAATGATGTTTTAACAGAGAAAGGAAATTTTCACAGTATGTTTAATATTTTTTCTTCTGGAGAAAGTCTTGTTTGTTTTATTTCAGCTAGAATAAAAGCAGTTTTAATATTCTTAACCATATGAACAAAATTATTAGCCCCTTTAAGCTATATATTTTGATAGTCTACAGAACAAACCATCGTTATACATTAACTTGTCAATTACCCTTACCTGTCTAGTTAACCTAATTAACCTAGTAAGCATTTAAATGTCACTTTAAGCTGTATAGAAGTGTCTTGAAAATGATCTATTCAAATATTATTTACTGTCATCATTGCAAATATAAAAAAAATCAATTATTAGAAATGAGTTATTAAAACTATTTGTTTAAAATAACTTTTTAAAAATGTGTTAAAGTTAGTTTCCCATATTGCTCCATTATCAATTGACATTCATATAATGTATTATGTTTACATTTAAAATAATGCATTTGGCATTGACAATTTTACATATAATTTGTTTAAAAAAACTTAATTCTGCCAATGCTATAGGATCATGATCTGCTTCTTTAAAAAGAAGTTTACTGTAATATTTTGTAGAAAATTCTTAAATTTAGCTGCTTCTTTTCTGTTCCCCCACAGATGACAGATTAGGAAATACACCGTTGGACACATTGCTTGCACTCCTACAAGCAGAAGGGGCCAAAATTGAGGAAGAAACTGAGGTAACTTTATTACCACCAAGCTAAGCTAGCTTTATTACTTTAAATTTTTCTATTTTAATGTTTTGAGTGCATTTCAGTAATTAAAAAGCATGTCTACTGAAATCAAGAAACTATTTAATTGAACAATTTATTAATAGTTTAAAGGAAATGTCTTGATGCAACATAAATGATGTCTCATAATGAAATATTTTGGAGAAAACTGTAAGATTTATGTTATCTAAAAATTGATATTTAATTCATGCACCCCTGCTGGCGATCTACCTGTCACTTTATTGATGCAACTGGGAATACAAAATCCTTATGTGCTGCCACATTGTGCAGCTTTCGGTTTTAATTTTCAAAGGAACAACACCAAAAAGAGAAGTAATGCATGTCTTCACTGCTTTCCTGGTAATAATAAGAAGAGAAAAAAATGAGAAGATGCCTGATGGCTTGCTGGATGCCATGTGGAATTCAGCAATTCATATTCAAGTGTCAATGAGAACTATTTTACAGGGGGTGCTAGTACATCATAACAAATAATTGGATCAGCAATAAAATAAATTGATAATGTGCTGGGAAAGTGACTTTTTGAGATGCTCACCTGAAGTTTGCATGTTCACAGAGAGGCAGCAGACACAAAATACATCACACAAACAAAACCACACCATACATTCACACAGTAATCTTTATCCAGTCAGAAAAATCATACCACATTGCTCTTTATTAGGTGCACAGTGCTGCTTTTGATCTTAAATATGTCTAATTCTGTGACATCCAATGTTATATAACTAAATATGTCATAATGACTGGATTGTGCTATTCTGTCTATTTTCTATTGCAGTAAATCATAGGGCTCTAACTGGAGATTGTTCATTTTTAACATCTGGTACACTCATTAGACCATACTCATACTATTATCTCTCTCTCTTTATTTTTTTAAACCAGAACTTGGCTGATGCGTTCCTCGATGGAGCAGCCCCTCTGGACACATTCATCGATGACTATCAGAGCAAGAGGAAGCTGGCGCACCTGCGGCGAGTCAAGATTGAGAAGCTCCAAGAAATGGTGCTAAAGGGACACCACATGCCCCCGGCTGCACCTCCACCCTCTCGTGCTCAGGACCTTCCATCCAGGCCAGCAGCTCTCAACAGAGAGGTCAATGGTTCCCCCATGCCAATGCCCCGCCGGGCTCCTCCTCTTCCCCCCGTTAAAGAATCTCCACAGCCAGCCCCCACCACCGCCATCTCCTACCCTCCTACCTCTCCATTCCCTTCTCCTTCTATGATCCCTCCTACCTCTCCATATCCCCCAGTTCCCCCAAGAGTAGGAAACACACCACTCGTCTTAAACCAGGGTTATCCCAGCATGTACATGCAGCAACAATACGCCCCACCTCTGCCCCAGAGACCTCCTCCACGCATGGTACCGCAGCCAGGCTTCATCATACAGTGAGCGCGGAACATTACAGCCTGTGGATGACAAGAAATGCACACTGGACGTTCATTAAAAGCCTCTTATAGTCCTTCAAGCTGCATGTTATCAAATGATGTGCGCAAGTCAAAATTAAACAAGACTTTTCTACAATCACAGGGGTTGGGGGGAATCAGCAACAGGATCTTCAGTTTGCACTTTAGACAACTTTCGTATTTGATCAGTCATGATCAGAGTCATGCCGTTCCTGTTTCGCCCTCTACAGTAGCATTAGATCAAGTCTTTTTTTTTTTTACATGAGCCTCAGGGGCTTCCATACATAATGAAGATTTCAAGAGCAGGGGTTATGTCAGGCCACATAGACAGACATGAAGAGCTATCATTTGGGGGTTTCTGTTGGAGTTATATGTTGGTTCAACCACTTTAATATCATCTGACATTACATACTTGGGAAAATAAAAGCTGCTTTAAGGAAAACGTAATGGCTATGCAAACAGACTGAGACACAACTGTGCTGAATTGATTGGAGGGGGACAGAAACTAAAGCGTCTTCAGGTTTTCTCAGACCTACAGCTTAAAGATGTTATCTGTTTTTCAAGTGAATCCACTTTTGAGTTTGTAGTGCTGTGATTTAAATTTGGGTGGAATCATTTGGTACTAAGACGAGAGGAAATAATCAGAGATGCTCCTACACATGAACCATAATGCCTTGTGAGGCTCCAATACGAGCAAATGCGCGCTGAAGGTGGAGCCCTATTAGCTAGAATTTAAACTAGTGAGAGCGAACGGTAGTGTGCATGTAAAGTTATTTTTAACTATGTGTGAACATTTGTGAAGCATATGTGCTTTTACTGTCATTATCGCGCATACTTAAACTGAAGCTCTATGCATAATTTATCATTTAAATGTTTATATCTAACACTATAATCATTCTTGTTTATTTTTGCCATCTGGCGTAAACGCGTTTATAGGAGATTTGCTTACTCTTCTATAATGCACACATCTAATATAGCCATGCCATTTTAAAGATTTATTTCTGATAACGTCATCTGGTTTGTTGCATATCATATTTCATTTTTCCATCCATAACATGCATTCCTTGTGTTTCCATGCTCTGTTCATGTGTCTGCCACTACAATGGCCACTTTGTGCCTGCGCTGGCTAAGATGATGACTTGTTCACTGTGGTGAGGAGTACGTTTGTTCTTTGTATTCCTCTTTGACTTTCTGTTTTATAGCAAGCTGCATAATGTCCGGAATATTTTTATTTCAAAATCTATGCTGTTTACGCTGGTGCATCCATGCAAGTGTCCTTTAGCGCAGTGTTTCCCCACCATGTTCCTGGAGGACCACCAGGTCTGCACTTTTTCCATGTCTTCTTAACCAAACACACCTGATTCAGATCATCAGCTCGTTAGCTGAAAGACCTGTAATGGATGTGACAGACAAATGGGACATCCAAAACATGCAGTGCTGGTGGTCCTCCAGAAACATGGTTGAGAAACACTGCAGCAGAATATTAATCTGTAATTTTACCAGTTACAGCAATAATTACGTCGCCTCAAATTCAGGAAGCTGATTTGGTATAAACGGGAAGAGGTAAAACCATTTGTTTGGATTAAGTCTTCTCTTTAATCACTGGTGCTGCTGCTGCTGCATTCATTTAATGAGCTGAACCCAGATGATGTTTGAATTCAATCACTCCATGTTTGTCAGCTTTGGCTTGAGGATCTGTTTTATTATCCTGATGAGCACCAGATTTAGAGGTGGATTTGTTCGGGGTCCTCATAAATCAGGCTGCATTATGTCTAGACACTGACTGAAACCAATACTATGACAGGCCTGCCAACCATCTGGGAAAAAAACAGCTTCCACCTTTAAGAAATTGTTTGCTTGTTTGTATTGACATGTTCTTTTTCTTCATCTTAGAAGTAATAATGATTGTTAGGATTTTAATTTGGCTGTATGCTTTTGCTGGCAGTAAACAAAAGGATTTTGTACCTTCCTAATGTAAAATATCCTGACTGCTCTGTTCTAGGTATTGTCTTTTGAAAGTGGTGAAAGGAATTGACATCTCTATTTTAAAGATAATAAATGTTATTCAATTATTTTCTGTGAGTTCAACACTTGCGTGTATTTGATAAGGATTATTTTATTTTTCTGATGGTCAAACAAAGAATTTGAACTCCCTCTAGTGGATGCAAAGTAAGTACACATTGTAGAATCGTGTCTTTTTAAGTCATAGGTCTCAAACTGGATTCCTGAAGGGCTGCTGCTCTGCACAGTTTTGCTCCAACTCTAATCAAACACAGCTGATCCAAATAACCAAAGTGTTCAGGACTACTAGAGACTATTAAGCAGGTGTGAGTTAGAGCTGGGTGCAGCTAAACTATGCTGAGCTGCGGCCCTCCAGGAATTACGTTTGAGACCATTGTTTTAAAGGGATAGTTTACCCCAAACTGAAATTTCTGTCTTCATTTACTTATCCTTCTCATCACAAACTTGTTTGGGTCTAAATTATTAATGTGCCAAAACAAGTTGTTAGAAACGGGTAACCATTGACTTCCACAGTTTTGTTTTTCATACTATGGAAGTTAATAGTTAACGGTATCTAACATTATTTAACATGTATTTTTTGTGTGTTTAACAGGAAAAAACAAACTTTGTAAATGTTTGGAACTACTTGAGGGTGAGTAAATAGCAAGCAAATGTTTATTTTTGGGTGAACTATCCAATGCACTCCTAAATGCTTTATTTCGTTTATTGTTTTACCCTCATTGATTTTTTTTTTTTTGCACCCCATTTTGAAGCCAATCTATAGACAAATTAACAGTTTGCAAACATTCAGGATGCGCGTGCGGCGAGGTTGCAGAAAAAAAACGGGAATGCTAGCATGAACAGTGAGAGAATGATATCCAATGCGGTACAGAGTTTGTTGTTGTATTAGAGATATAAGTTATATCTATTACATAATTACATATATTATTTACATAATGCTTGCAGCGTATTATAACTGCTTGTCACCCAGTGACAGTTATTCAGCAAAATTATTGTTAAAGTGAGCTGCGTTCATCTGATAGGTCCATTTGTGGTAGCACCCATGAATATTGGATAAGAAGAAATGACCAAGCATCCAGCCCCAAATATACAACTATCTCATTGAAACTCTAAGTGATTTTACAAGAGAGAAGTTAAAAGCCTGCACGTCTTTGGATGCCTACAATTTTGTTCTGTGTGGTCATGTGCAAGAAATAATGTTCCATGATTACCAGATTGAAAACTTTGTAGTGCTAAAAACCGAGGTTCTGCCTAGCCAAAGACAAGGAAAAAAGACGGAACTGTACAAGGTTAATCATCAACAAGCAAAACAACTGCATTCTGACAGTGAACAGCACCTGTACGGCATGGTATGTGATCTTACATTTTTACATTTCATTCTAAGCATTCATTGTTCGCAGTTTTATTCACCATATTTAACTGTTTTTGCTAAAATCATTGCTGCAATCAAAAACCAGTAATGTGAATGATAGCGTGAACTTAATTAATTAGTAAATTAATTTTAATTAGGTCCTCGCTCCATTCAGCTCTTATGATGGCTGTTAGCCAAAGACATCTGCGGTTGGCATTAAAAGCAGGGTGGTGTACGGTCTTGTTTTGGACTTTTAATTTTGGCATCCTACATATGCCAAATTCATAATTTACAGTTGCTAACATTATTAAAAATTAAGGTAAAGCTTGTTAGTTTTTTGAGGAAATTGCACCAATCATTTCAAAACCTTTAACACTTTTAAATGATCACATATTGGGAATCCCCACATCTGGAATGCTGATAATGAACGAAGACAATTCGTATTTTTATTAAATTATTTATGCTGCCTGAGAAATGTTTTGCTTTTACAATGCCATTATGTTAGTTGGATTTCAATAAAAGGTCAATCGCATATACAACACAATCTCACTGCAATTCGTAACTTTTTGATTTGGGCTAATTCATATGAATTTGTATTTGTGATCTTGTTCGTACCATTAGCTTATCCCCCAATGATGGTTGGGTTAAGGGGTGGGGTTGGGTGCCAAGCCTCCTTTTTAAAATTGTACATTTTTATACGACTGAAGTAGTATTAATTTGTATACGAATTAGCCACTAAACTTACAAAATGTAAAATATTAGGTTTCTTCATGAGATCAGACTGGCATATCTAAGACTTAACATTTTTTTTTGTTTGTTTTAGATGTTTGGCAAAAATAAGAATTAAAGCTAAAATTATTAACCTTAATATCTGATAAGTTATAGAAAGTAGAATCAAATGATTAAATTTAATATAAAATGAAATGCTGAATGTTAATATTTTGGCTGCACATATTTAGTACAAGTATTTAAGTTAGCATTACACTACTTGATTAACATGCTTCAACAAATATTATGAAATTTCATAAATATTACTTCATTAAAAATGTATTTTTTTACATTCTTACTTTTTTGCTTTATTTACTTATGCTGTCATCTTTCGTTTACTATACCCAAAAGTAACATGTTTCCACATTTTAGAAAGTATTAATATGACAAAGAAAGCAATTTCAGATGTTTTTTTCTCATTATATTAATACAAGGGTGGCACAGTGGCTCAGTAGGTAGCTATGAAGGTTGCTAGTTCCTAGTTCGCATTTCTGTATGGAGTTTGCATGTTCTCCTCGTGTTCGCATGGGTTTGTGCTCCGGTTTCCCCCACAGTTAGAAGACATGCGTGATTAATAGTGAATTGAATAAACTTAATTGTCCACAGTGTATGAGTGAGCGTTTCCCAGTAATAGGTTGTGGCTGGAAGGGCATCCGGTGCGCGCATAAAACATATGCTGGAATAGTTGGCGGTTTATTCCACTGTGGCAACACCAGATAAATAAGCTGAAGGTAAATGAATATTAATATAAATAGTTAATATATTATGTGGACATGTTTTCTTTTTTTGTAAATAAAAGTAAACATGATGTCTTACCTAAGATCAACACTTACCATGCATACAATACAATAAAAGTTACAATAAAATAAAAGTAACACATTCATGAAGTAGTTTGAAACCCCCTTCATTTCACGCAAAATCTTGTAATCACTGCAGAAACCCCTTTAGATGACCTTCGACATTAAGTGAATCTCAAACCCATTCATATGTTTGTTTGATCATTTGTCATCTAAGTCCTGAAGTTTGCGGCACAAATGTGATGATCTGTCGGTCAATATGTTAAGTTATGATCTGGTGACCAGTAAGAATCTTTAACTAAAAAAAATATCAACTGTGTCCTAAAGTGTCTCCATTTTACCACAGGCCTACATTATGACTTTCAGTGTACATTGTCACATTAACTGGGTTGCTTTATCTCTGAAGTTTTTTTTCTGCTTCCTTCTTCGCCACGAAGATCTCCGAGGGACCTCCGGAACTCTTTCAAGTTTTGCGGGACCTCCATCACGACCCATTTAACCATCTGCTTTGCACGTGTCAAGTTGTACGTGCGACGTCAGGCCTACGCCATCGCGTCGCGAGCCACAGCTCCGCCATATTGCAGGAAATCCGTTTGAGGTTTAGAGATTAGCGTTTAATCTGAGGAGCTGGGAACGAGAGTGTGATTGGAAGTTACTGCTAGCCATATGGTTAGCTCGAGTGGGCGGGTAGATCGCGCAATCGCTGTTGTCAGACGACAGGACATATGTTTATTAAGACAATTCGGCGCGGTTCGGCACGTTATTATTATTATGCCGAACTGACTCACGAATCTGTGGCTAAACTGGCGAGTTGACGTTCTGACTCCGAAAAGTGGAAAATCGGATTAACGTTCAAGATTGCGCACCAAACCCTAATCATCTTGTGTCGGTGGCTCCCGTTGCTTCGAGCCCAAGCTATCTCATCGAGGACGGTTTGCAGCTTATAGACAGTTTAATGTCAGCAGGGAAACACCGGGCTCGATTCTACTAGTTTGTCCGCGCACGACGGTGATAGTGTTTCTGTCAGCCAGCGAAGGGGGAAAGCGATCGAGTCGGTGTCTGCTGGCGATGTTATTATGCTGCCCTGTGACCCGTGTGGCCAACTGTTGTTCAGTGTTGACTAAATTAGCCGTGTTAGCGTGTTAAACTGGTTCGTCGGTGTGAATTTTGAGCAGTTTTTCGGACTCTTCTGAGTCGCTGGCCACTTCGCGATCTCTCTCCTCGCTCTGACTGGCAGCAGCAAACACGGAGGATATCTTTACTCGTTTGCTGGCTAATAAATCCTGACTGAACTCTGAGAAGATGTCGACGAAAGAGCCGAAAGAAAAGCTGTCGACCACCGAGCGAATCATTAAAAGTAAGTTCAATCTCAGTTTGTGTTCTGTGAACGGGCTCTAGACGCTCGAATCTAACGGATTCAGACTTTGGTATTTTGGTGAATCGTTTGGTTCGCTAATTATTTGATTCCTCTGAATCATTCCTTGACAGCTGCTCCTGTGTGTGTTCATTGCTTTAACGTTACTTGTCATTTGTCATTATGGCATCTAGATTGCCCAATTTTCAAGCAGTTAATGCAACTATGCCAGAGTTTTTTTTTTTTTTTTTTTTTTTTGCAATCTTTTATGTTGACATGTTTCTAAGGTGGCAGCAAATTGTTGCATTTCTCATGCTCCATTTAAACACAAAGCAGGGTATTATTTATGTCTACCTTAGGATTTTTTGCAGGTCTTAAAAGTCTTAATTCGTCCTCTCTCTATTTAAGGTCTTAACTTAGAGTAGAAAGCCTACATAGCCATTAAATGTTGGATGCCTGCAAAAAAACAACAACAAAAAAACTATATATATATATATATATATATATATATATATATATATATATATATATATATATATATATATATATATATTGCAACATAAACATTCTTAATCAAAATGTGTGTAATTTAAGATATGATCTGAGAGAATTTTATCCTGTGTTTTTGAGAAATTAAACAAAATGAGTGTTTACACCTACATAAAGCTCATATATCTTTCAAGAGTATAGGAAAATTACTTCAAATTAAATTAAAAATATTGTTTTGAGGCCATTGGTGGATATTTGTCTATTTCAATCACATACTTGCTTCACTTTGATCAGTTTTACAGAAAACAAGACGGCTAATTTAATGTAATTTTGCCTTCCTAATAAATGTATTTTAACGTTTAATTAATGTGTTTAGATATTTACTCTAGACAACCAGACAAAAACGGTAACGAAGAACACCCCCTATAAATGTACTCATCAAATCTATTCATTTTATGGTTTTGTTTTTTTTCAACAATCTGGAATTGGCTTTAATGAAGCTCTTAGAAGCTCTGTACTTGCACAATCACCTCCCCAAAAGCCTAAAATAAGGCATTTGCAGAGTATGTGATTGCTTTTAAACTACTAATCAAAATTGCTCATTGCAGGTTTTAGTATTCATGGTAGCTGAAAACGGTGTCTGAATAAAGCTGTGGTTGTCTTGGAAATCTGCCATGTTTGTAACTGTGTAGGTGGGTGTGACCCTTGTTTCTGACTTATGCATGTAAAATATGAATACTTCTTTCTCCACACTGGGTGGATGAAATCACAATCATTGCTTTGTGTTTGTGGTTATCTGTGATTATTTATTTTATTTTTATCTTGAATAGAACAAACACAATGTTAAAATCTAGCAATGTGCTGCAGTCTTAACAGGGGCTTATCATTATTTGTGGTATAAATAATATGGAGTAAATTGAAACACATGCTTCACATTACCTGCTTGGATCAGTCTTGAGAACTTTTCTAGTAAAAAAAAAAAAAAAGCTTGTGAATTCAGATGAAATGGTGGTTTCTAAAGGGGTTGTGAAGACACAAACCTCTAAGTCTAATTTAATTATGCTAATTAATGTATTTTTATTTATTTATTAAAGTTTAATTTAATTACCTGATTTATTACTTTACTTTTTAATTATGTGTTAGTGGAAATGAGGTAGCGTAGAACAGTAATCAGTGCAAAACTGCATCTTTTTCACAATGCATGTTTCCAGAGGTTTGCCACTGTTTTTTTGGGGTGTTTTGAAAACTTGCAGAACAGGCTCTGGTTCTGTAACTCAAAGAAATCAGCTTCTTATTTTAGTGAAAAAATCCTGTTTCTAGCGTTTAAAGTTATAATGGGTTAGTTACACTGAAACTCCACTGAACACTATTTAATTTGGAACTGATTTACATGGCCTTTGGTTTGATCTGTTTCTTGAAAATCTTGTAAAGGGCATTATTGTAAAATATTATAACTTAAATAAGACAATTTATTTACTCTTCATTTAGATGAGGTAACCAGGTTAGTAAGGTCAAATGAGGTAAATCTGACCAAATTACGACACATGTCCCTTTGTTTGCTATTAGAACTGTACACTTTCTTTGGGCTGATCTACACCAGATAATACATAATAGTGTCAAAAAAGCTGAAATGTTGTTTCTTGAGTTTCTGTTTTTCACCTTTGTGTTGCATGTCTGGCTTTTGTTTTTACTCTTTTTAATTGAAAAAAAAAAATTTATTGTGAAAAATAAATAGCCTAAAAAAAAATTGACTAACACTTATAGCACATTAGTAGGTCTGCACAGGAGCCAATTTGCCTTTCAAATGTCCAGGTTTTGAGTGAACACTTGCGGCCTGCTTAGTGTGTAGGGCTGAAATAGTTCTGAATCTGTCATTCTGAAGGCAGAGTCTGTCCTTGCTAACACTGACATGCAAAGCGGTTGGTTCAGAACTGTGCCATATGCAAATGTTTAAACTTAGATTGAGGATCTGTGTGTCAGATACAATCGTTGAGTGTATGTTTTAGACTCTTTCGACTGTTTATATGATTTATTTTCACTTATAATACAATTTTGGAGCATGCTATGGATTTTTCGCATGAATGTGTCGACATTTCTCAACTTCAGCCTCAAGTCTTCATCTTCTCGTTTGAACTTTAGGGTCAAGATCTTGTTTGCAGAAGTCGTTCCTAAATAAACAGACTCTGAACCTGGAATCCCTGGTTAATAAAGGCTTTGCCTAATCTGTTCTTAGTGCTCGTACCCAGCTTACAGTCCCTATTCCCAGCCTGTGTTGTGGGCCCAGGGCTTCTTATGGTTTATTTATACTCCTCAGCAGTGGACAGTATAGATGATGTTTATTTATGTCCTTATGACAGCAAACTCAATTTGTTCAAACCCTGAACTCAGGTGAGGTGGTGTGGTCAACTCTTGTCCCCCTTTCCGCGTTATCCCCTTAGCGCTTTTTTATTTATTGTGGCCAGCTGAGCGCCTGCATGTGCTGAAAGTGTTCTGCAAAGATCAACCCTGTTCAGCCATGCGCTCATGATAGGATGACTTTCTTTTTTAAGCCATCGCAGGCATTATGCTCACTCCTGACGATGTCATAATAATTCAAATGATTAGGTTATGTCTGCCAAAAGCAAGTACTTTATTGTCTTTTCCTATAGTCTTTCTTATGTCATAAAATAGCATGGGTTGAATTTTCATTTATGGAGGTAAAAGGTCATACAGGGATTTTCAGTTGTGGGGTTTACAACTAACATTATTGAAGAAGATATTAATACTGTTCATATGTTTAGCAATATTTTTAAGTTATTAAAGTTATTATATTAATATAACATACCTATATTTAACCAGAATACCTATATTTACCAGTCAGCTATAGTAGTTTATAGTGAAAGTACGCACTGGTGAAATAATTTTTGAAATGGCAGCAGCAAAAAAATCACCACTAATCAACAACAAAAGACTAAATTAAAACGGACTGAAAGGACTGACTAAATTAAAAACTGAAATTAGAATAAATGGCCTCGTCAACATTTTTTTTTATTGTAAATGGTAGATTATAAGGCTATGTATTTTATGCTGGTGTATGGTATTTAGGCGTTATAATAGGGCACTTGTAAAACAAAAAAACAAACAAACAAACATGTGTCCACAGAACCGTGATACGAAATGACAATTTTGTGAACCATCTTTTTTAGATACTATTCCTTATTGGCAGTATAATTTTTAATTTTTGTTTTGTTAGCTTAGTTTACAGTTACTATTAACTAAGTTCTATGAATAAGTAAAAGTAAAACGTTCTAGGAGACATTTAACCGTTTTTCAAGAGAGAGGAAAGAAATTTTGTTTTGTAATGTTAAAAAAAATCATATAAATGCTTTTATTTTGAACTTCCTGTCTGTCAATTCTAAAATATTTTTTTCTGTATCACTATTTTTACTGTGGTGAGCTGTAGTAACTTTGGTTAGAATGATTGTTCTGTCCTACAAATCTTGTCACAATGTATACATCAACAGAATAAAATTTAAAGCCTGAAAATCTGTTTTAACTTGTCAGTAGTAGTGATGTCTTGAGCTGAAGTATTCAGTACATATTGACACATGCCCAGGGTGTGGCCTTGCCATATAGATATTGAAATCAGTGTGGTTCAACTTTGGCCATGTGAAGAGCAATACCATGTTTTGGAATGCTCGGAATTTGTGTCTGTTAACTAGAAGAAATGTAATCCTTAAAGATCTCGAGAAATAAAATGTTTTTTTTTTTTTAGATGTTCTCCAGTGTGCTCCAAAACTGTGAAAAAAATGCATTTAGAAGATATAAACCTGATGTAAACATTTAAAGCTTAAAGGATCAACAATTCTTTAAGCCTAAATGGATCAACATTTTTTTTTACATCACCTACCTGAAATTCTCATCAAATCTTGACCAAACAAATTCTCTGTACTGTCTGATATATCCCTCCCCCTTCAAGATGCTTCTCGTTTGATTTGGTTGAGCTTTTCTCACTATCAGAGCTGTGACAAAGCAAAATGCTATTGGCTGTTTTTTTTTTTTTTTTTGACAAGGGGAGGTGCTACAAGATAGGCTTGGGCCGACATATGATTCTGACAGTACAATAACCTTGAATAAAAATATCACGGTTTCATGGTATTGTGCTCTAAAATCAGTTCTTTTTAAATGTCTGGGTAAAAACTAAAACTTTTGAACACAATATATTTTATTTTGAGAAACAATACACTTACACAAGGCTAAACCCTAAAGATTTTTTTTAATGGCCAACTTAAAACCTTACAAAATCAATAAAAACAAATGTTATTGTAAGGAAGATAATTAAACCATATTAATATGTAAACAAAGTTAATAAATAAATGTTTTTAAACACTTAAAATATATTGTTGGTGATTGGATGGGTGTTGGCCCAATTGGGTATAGCTTTACATGGAAAATGAAAACCCGTTTAAAATGATTTAAGACCTACAACACAATATTTTAGTGGATTTTTAAGACTTTTTAAGGCCCCGCAGTTA